ATGTGTCTTTTTCGAACGTATATTAATCCAGTACATGTCTCGTAGTGACTCCCATTTATATGCAATCGACAGTTAGTCGTTTGAAGTTGTTAACTGATTTCTGCCTTCCATTACTAATGTTAGAAATCTACATTATAAAGAGTTTTAACATTATATGCAGTGAAATCTTGTCAATTTGAGATTTGCCCTAAATAACTGTTGGAATGGCCATTTAAGATAATACAAATATGATATTTGAAAAATTTAGAATTTGGTTTCTTTGGAAGATAATAGTGAGTTTGTTTCTCGTAGTTTCATTATTAAAATGCAACAGAATTTTATTTATATTAGAACAAACGGTAGAAATGGTAAAGCTAAAAACTAGCTCAGTTGTGTGGGTTTATTGGCAAATTGGAGTTTTCTGGCTCCACCCGTCAACCTTTACGTATGAAGAAAGGACCTCCAAAGAGAATTCAGTCAGCCTCGTTGCCATTAACATGGCCTGTGTGACACAGGGTTGAAACGTCTGTTCTGCTCAATGATGGAATTGACAAAATTGTTTCCGTTGTTTATAAGTCGCGAAAGTGCCAGTCCGGCATCACTAAATTCCCATATTGCCTATGCCGTTGAAAAATGTGTCACGTAAAGAGGACAAAAGCGATTTTCTATGCGTGCTTACAGTTAGATGTTAGTCCTTTGTCGCGTCGCAACGTCAAGTATGTCAGAAGGGGACATTCTTACTGTATTTGTGTTACTTGTCGTAATGTATGTTGGTGCTCGTTTCTGACATCTTTCTTACACTAGTTGATGAGCAGTTCCTTATAAGTGTGATCGCCTTTCTAGATGGCACCGTTCAAGCTCGTCTAGTTCGCAGTTACCCTGCTGGACAGTTTAACTCGTTAAGCAGCCCCATTATCTGTTCCGAGCTGTAACAATAAGTTCGTGACAAAATCTCTCTTCTCATGTTTTAGTGCATTTTCGTTAATTTTAACCATGTTCCTTATTAGCATCGCCAGATTGTCATCTAAGCTAAAACAGACCATATTATTTGATATTCACGGAAATAGGAGATAATAAATTTAGACTAGTTCAATAATAATTATACGAGTGAAATTATGAATTATTTAATTATTTTAATAGCAGGGAAATTGCGAAGATACACGGCTAGAAACCTTGCTGCGTGCAATCATTAGGGGCCTATAAACGCGTGAATTTCCTTGTCGTTTGTGATATTATGCAGTAACGTTTGTAAAGGTGCTATTGAATTGAAAGCAACAGTCGTTGCACAAGCTGATTAACGTTACTAAATCGATCTTCATGATCACTTTGAATCGCGTTTTGCTTCAGCAAATTCGACAATGTGCGATGGCGAAGCAAATTCTTTGGACATGGAAGACTATGTTCGCTTGGGAAAGAAGCATAGGTAGTTGTTATATATGCTTGCGTTAATTTTCAAAAGTTGTTGAACCCTTTACATTAGTTTCGGTGATCAGCGGGTTTTCGTAATTTATATTTTCATCCTTACGATGCGAAATGCTCAATTAAGTGATGAATATAAAAAGGTTAATGAAATCATCAACAAAAAATCTCATGTAACTCAACAGTCATTCGTGCGCTGATGAACATTACTTTATAATATTTAAATTGAAATTTTTGGAACTACGAATAGAATATCAGCTACCGAGCTTTTAGAAAATCCCTTCCTCCTTAAATTAGGAAGGAGCAGAAAAGTTTAGTATTCGATTTGAGGTTCACCGAAGCTTTCTGCAACACCGAAGTTGCTTGCCGAAAGAGGGTCGAATTGAAATTTGAGAAGACCCTCATTTCAGCCTCCGTCTGGTCATTTACCATTGTTCCTTCTAATGTTGATGAAGGAGTTCCACTTCGTTTTAAGGGAACAGCTGATTATACACTGAACTGTTCACCATGTCGTAGATATAGCTTGAAAAATAAACAATAAATCAGTCTTGTTTTATGACAAGGAATTAGATATCAGCGCTCTCCTTAACATTTGTGAGAAGACAGTTACCACAAATTGCGCTCATTTAGGAAAGTGCACGTGCGACGACGTCCGGACTGTCGCGAAGTTTCGTTTTCGTTTCAGTTTGTGCGATTGCTTATGATTTTCAGTAGATGGCTGTATTCACAATTCTGTCTGATTTAGAAATGATCAATTCTAACTTTAATTCCAGTTCTTGTACCGCTTAAACAAAAATTACCTCTTTTTGTGGTCGGTAACATGTTTTAAGTTTCAAACTTAGTCTTTAATCATGACAGCATCATGTACTACTGATACCATATTTACTCATCTTTCTTTTAGTCGTCGAGGGGATCATTTAATTAAACCACAGCTCCATGAAATTTGATTGTCTGCGGTACATTTCATTGAGACTGCATCCCTGGGTTAGAAGCATTTCTAGCCATCATCTCTATTCAAATATATTCACATTTAAATATTTATGTCTTTAATTGCTTCTGCCTCTATTTATATACAACTTCTTAACATGATAATTAGGAGCATTTTCACTCTAATATAGCCATTTGTTTCATTGGCGATATTTCTTAAAATAGAATTTTGTTCTAAATGCTTTGCTTTTTGTTACAAGAACTTTTTTGCTGGATATTTATCTTATCAGTTATGTTTCATAGATTCTGCCCATTTTTTAAAGCGAGGAATAGCTTGGATGAAGCGGATTTGATTATTTTACCTTACAATTATATTTTTGATGCAAGGGTAAAAGAACTTTCATTGAAGCGGATGTTTGACTGATCATGTAGCTACTTTTAGGTTAGAAGGTCAAGTAAGATTGACCTGAAGGGAAATATTCTAATTATGG